GAGGTGGGAGGAGGGGATAGGTGGGAGGAAGGACAGGTTAGGGAGGCTCTAAAACCTCACCGTACCAAGTGAAATCTCCAGCTCCAAAGTTTTTCTCCTTTTTGAATACAGCTGAGAAATATTCACTTCAAACCTTACCCATGCCATCTGGCTCCATGCACAGATTGCCCCTTTGGTCTCCTGTAGGCCCCACTTTTTCCCTGGTAATCCTTTTACTCTTAATATACTTATAAAATACTTTGGGGCTTTCCTTAATCCTATCTGCCAAAGATATTTCGTTGCCCCTCTTTGGCCTCCTGATTTATTTTTTAAACATGCCCTACACTCTCTATATTTCTCAAGAGCCTCCTCTTTGATAAGGATGTACTCACTGAAATATGTCACTTGTTGTAGCTACAACTGCAAGCTTATATCAGAGCAAGTATTATTGTGGAGAAGACTATGGTGATGAACAATTAAGTGCTGGATCTTTTCAAGCTGAAGTTGGATATTATGGTTACATCTCACAATTTGCCATCTACTGTGCTGTAGAGGAGATTACTGATGCCCTATTCAAAGAGAATAGTTGCATTTCATTTTGTCTTCCCAAAGACCAGCAGGGAATACAAAAAATAGAAACTGCTGGAAAAGCTCAGCAGATCTGGCAGCATCTGTGGAGAGAAATCAGAGTTAACATTTCGGGTCTCTGAGGAAGGGTCACTTGACCCGAAATGTTAACTCTGATTTTTCTTCACAGATGCTACCAGCCCTGCTGAGCCTTTCCAGCAATTTCTATTTTTATCTTTAATTTACAGCAACCATGGTCCTTTCAGTTATTAGTTAAGAAAAGTGAATAATTGGCTTTGCTAGGATTGCAGGCATCCCAATGTGTGAAAGAAGGCAATTGACATCTTAAATAGCATTTTGCTCGTGCAAAATGTCAACTCTGTCTTATACTAGAAATGAAAGGGATTCTATTCATTCAAAATCCAGCTGATGGATGACCATAAGCAGCAAAGTATGTGTATTGATACTTGATATTCTGGCAGCAGACAGATAAGGTGACAATATTGAACCATCACTGTAAGCCAAAGAGTGGTTACTGGGTGACAAAGATGTTGATAACAAGGTCCTGATGCTCAATCTATGTGCATGTGGAAACAGTTTATTATAGGTCCCACAGTATATCTATATTCTACATCTGATAGAAAGCTCTCTTGACGAACTCCTGCTGTGATTGGATATGCCCCTCATCATTGGCTACATTGGAATATATGGAGACTGATAATCAGGAGTGGATGGATTTTACTAGTAGACATTCAGTAAACAGTTAATTTCAGTGAAAGTGTAATAATGTGTTTGACAGAGCTATGATTGTATGATAGCTGAGACGTTTTCTTTGCTATCTTTTCCCAATCAATAATTTTGTGGCTCTACATTGTAGTGATGTGCTAACTAGTATGTTGTACCAAAGAGAAATAGGTCATGAATACTGTTAATAGTCTCCAACAGATCAGCTGAAGCAACAGTTAGCAGAAGCTAAAAGATTTGATGGAGTAAAGTTTCGAATTTGGATATAATCATCAATCCAAATGCATATTCTACTAATGCTTCTCATTGAGTTTAAGGTTCACATTCCTGTTTTAACTCATTTTTATAGTTTCATACATAAATTTTTCATGAGCAAGTTCAGTCAGATAGTATTTTAAAATATATTAAATGTATTAGAAGGTATTTGTATAATGTGTGAAAATGTGAAGTTGTTCATTTTGGAAGGGAGAACAGAAGAACAATATTATTCAAATAGAAAAAAAACTACAGAAAGCTGCAACCTGTAGGAACCCATGCATGAAACACAGAAAGCTAGCACACAGGTGCAGCAGGTAATCAAGAATGCCAACTGAATTCTGGCCCTCACCTCAAGGGGTTTAGAATATAAGAATACAGAAATCTTACTTCAACTGTACAAGGTGCTGGCGAGACATCATGTGGAGTACTGCAAACACCTTGGCTCCCCTCACTCGAGGTAAGATATTATTTCAGAGGAGGCAGTTCACACAAAGTTCATCAGTATGAGTCCCAGCAAAATTGTCCCCTGAGCATAGTCTAGACAGGTTGGGAACCTACTCACTGGAGTCTCGAAGAAAGAGAGGTGATCTTATTGAAACATATAGGATTCTTATGGAGATCGACAGGGTGAATGTTGAGAGAATGCTTCTTCTGGGAGAGTCCAGGACCAGATGGCACAGCCTCAGAATAAACAGGTGCCAATCTAGGGCTAAGATGTGATCTAGAATCAAATCCATTGGTGTATCTCATCTCACCAAAGAGGTACCCTGGCTATCTAAAATAAATTCATTGAAACAGACCTACTCTGCCCTAAACAAGTTACATTCAATGACGCCTGGGATGTCCACAAACATGTCCATGCAAAAGACAGAAATTATGTAAATGTGGATGGGATTTCTGATTTATGGGAATTTTGGCATTTTTGCCACAATATAGATGCTTGGGACCTTTAGAGTGTCTAATCCACCAACAATAAATAACTGGATACAAAGTGAATGAAAATGACTTCCCAGAATTCTATGCAGAGCCATTTACTGTTTTCATTGATTTACAGCAATCAGTTATTAATTAAATGTACGGTTTTTAATACTTATCGTCTTTACAAAGTAGTCTATCAGTTTCGTTATGCTTAAAAAAATTTAGTTTTAAGAACGTCCTGAAAGGCTTGCAAAGTACAGTAGTTGGAATATAGTATAGTGATTAACTTGACCTGGGGCATGGCCTGTTTAGGGTGGGGGCTGTTCCCGACACAAAAGAATATGGAAACTCGATTTGAGTTTAACTTGCACTTGAAATTCCTTAAGTTCATTTGTATTAGTTTGGCTAATTTTAGGCAAATTGCATTGGAATGATCAATGTAACATAACAGAGAAAAAGTAGTTGTAAAAATATAGAGATTTTGTTAAATGTTAAAACATCCTGGAGTTCAAAAATGATGCCAAAGCATAGAATAGTTCAAAAGAAAAAAAATTATGTTGCCCCATCCCTTTGATTTTATACATAGAATTCTACTACTTAAAAAAATGTAATTGCTATGAGTGAGCATTACTTACGAGGGAGGCGATTAGACTGGCGTTATCCTCAATCTGGGCAATATCATACAGGATGACAGAACAACGTGACTGAAGCTCAGGCTGTTTACTGTGCAGTAATTCAATAAGAACTGGGATGATATTATAATCAATAATCGAGTGACAGACTTCAGAATAGGTGGAGAGATTACACAGTACAGCAGCAGCAATACATTGCAGTGTCTCATATTTACTGTATAACAAATCCACAAGAGCAGGAATGCTACCTAAATCAAAGAATTGAACAAGTCAGTGTTATGTACTACACAATCTAGTTTCTTATACTTTTCAGCAACTTTCAACTTTGTGTTTATTAAGAAATTCTGAAGTTATTGAGAAATCAGGGAAGCGGGACATGAAGTCAGCTTTTGAAAAACAAGTAAATTCAGGGCTGACAAGAAAGGTCAAATGGCCACATCTTTCGCTGATAATATTTACGTACTGGTGCAATACAACAAAGCAGTGCATCCTTAATCCAGTCATTGTCAGTGAGTCAAAATCCTGGAACTCCGTTCCTAACAGTTCTGCGACTGAACCCACACCAGATAGACTACAGTTCAAAAGGTGACTCACCACCACCTGCTCAATTACCATAACGGAATAAGAAAAAGTGGAGACCTGCAACCATCACATCTTATCTCTTTTTACAGTCATTGAATGCTAAACTTTACTCGATGCCTAACTGCTTGTTTTTGTGTGGACTTCAAAATATTAAGTTGTCAAAGATATAGAGTTTGTATTGATTATTTTATGATACTAATAGTAGTAGGAGTACTTTTGTCCTGATTTTGTCACTGCATTGTTATTGGTGCTTTGAATTACACTTTCCAAAGAATCTCAATAAGTAACTCAGTCCTCATTTCACCACCACCCTTGACCTCTACAACCAAGAAAGCAACGGCCTCAAACAGATCACAGGGCCCTAACACATCACAGGAAGTCCTGATATGGAACTATATTACCATTCCTCCACAGTCACGGTGTCAAAATCCTGGAGCTTCATAGAATCTCTACAGTGTGGAAAGCAGGTCATTCGGTCCATTGAGTTCACACTGGCCCGCCAAAGAGCATCCCACCCTGACCCATACTTTTGTAACCCTGCATTTCCCATGGTACATCCACGTAACCTTCACATTTTGGATTTTAGAAGGAAACCCACACAGACACAGGGTGAATGTGCAAACTCCACACAGACAGTTGCCCAAGGGTGGAATTGTACCTGGGTCTCTAGCACTGTGAGACAGCAGTGCTCACCACTGAGCCACCATAAATGTCCTCCCTAACAACATCGTGGCTTCCACACTAACAGCAGACACTACAGATGTCACCACTATCTCAGGGCAGATAGGGATGGATAATAAATATTGGTCTTCTCATATCATATCTCTTAAAACAATAAAAAGAATCACTGCTAGACTTAATAATATTTCATGTAGTTGACAGTTTTTCAACTGTGATAGATAGATTTGGGCCACTAAAGTAAATGTAGCAGTCCTGCATCTTATAAAGATGACATTCAACCTATCAAAAATTATCAAAACACCACCCTGGAAGAAAACGGAAATTAATTTGAGTATCAATATTGTGTAGATAGGTATAAAAGCAAAACACCGGGGAGGCCAGATTTCTTTATATTCATTCATTGGGCATCACTGGATGGCCAGCATTATTTTTATTGCCTGTCCTGAGTTGCCTTTGAGAAGGTGGTGATGAGCTTCCTTCTTGAATTGCTGTAGTCCACATGCTGTAGGTTGAGTCAGAATGCCATTAGGGAGGGAATTCCAGGATTTTGACCCAGCAACAGTAAAGGAACAGCAATATATTTCCTGTCATGATGGTGAGTGCCTTGGAGGGGAATTTGCAGGTGGTGGTGTTCCCATGTATCTGCTGCCCTTGTCCTTCTAGAAGGAAGTGGTCATGGATTTGGAAGGTGCTGTCTAAGGATCTTTGGTGAATTTCTGCAATGTGTCTTGTAGATAATACACACTGCTGCGACTAAGCATTGGTGGTGGAGGGAGTGGATTCTAGTGGATGTGGTGCCAATCAAGCAGGCTGCTTTGGCTTGGATGGTGTCAAGCTTCTTGAATGTTGTTGGAGCTGCACCTATCCAGCCAAATGGGAACATTCCATCACATGCCTGACTCATGCCTTGTGGGTAGTGGACAAGCTTTGGGGAATCAGGAGGTGAGTTACTTGCTTCAGCATTCCTAGCCTCTGACTTGCTCTTGTGGCCATTGTGTTTATGTGGCGAGTCCAGTTGAGTCTCTGGTCAATGCTAACCCCAAGGATATTGATAGTGGGGCATTCTGTGATGGTAACACCATTGAATGTCAAGGGACAGTGGTTAGATTGTCTCTTATTAGAGACAATCATTGCATGGCATTTGTGTGGTGCAAATGTTACTTACCACGTGTCAACACAATCCTGGATATTGTCCAGATCTTGTTGCATTTGAACATGGACTGCTTCAGTATCTAAGGAATCGTGAATGGTGCAATCATTGGTGAACATTCTCACTTCTGACCCTATGATGGAGGGTAGGTCATCAATGAAGCAGCTGAAGGTAGTTGGGCTGAGGACACTTCCCTCATGAATTCCTGCAGAGATGTCCTTGAGCTGAGGTGACTAACCTCCAACAACTACAATCATCTTCCCATATGCCAGGTATGAATCCATCCAGTGGAGAGTTTGCCCCCTGATACCCATTCATTCCAGTTTTGCTAGGACTGCTTGATGCTATACTCATTCAAAAGTGGCCTTGATGTCAAGGGCTGTCACTCTCACCTCTGGAATTCAAATTTTTTGTCTATGCTTGAACAAAGGTTGTAATGACATCAGAAGCTGAGTGGCCCTGGTGGAACGCAAACTGGGCATTACTGAGCAGGTGCTGCTTGATAGCAACATTGATGACCCTTTCCATCACTTTATTGATGACTGAGAGTAGACTGATGGGGCAATAATCGGCTGGGTTGGATTTGTCTTGGGTTTTTTTGTGCACAGGACGTACCCAGACAATTTTCCACATTGTCGGGTAGATGCTCAATGTTTTAACTGTACTGGAAGAGCTTGGCTAGGAGAGCAACAAGTTCTGGAGCATAAGTCTTCAGTATTATTGCCAGAATGTTGTCACAGCCTATAGCCTTTGCAATATCCACTGTCTCCAACTGCTTCTTGATTTCATGCAGAGTGAATCGAATTGGCTGACCACTAGTATTGGCGATGTTGGATGCCACTGAAGGAGGCTGAGATGGATCATCCACACAGCACTTCTGGATGAAAATTGCTGCAAATGTTTCGTCCTTGTCTTTTGCACTGATATGTTGGTCTTCCATCATTCAGGATAGGGATATTTGTGGAGCTTCTTCCTCCAGTGAGTTGTTTACTTGTCCACCGCCATTCACAACTGGATGTGGCAGGATTGTAGACCTTAGTTCTGAGCTGTTGGTTGAGGGATTGCTTAGCCCCATCTATCACTGGTTGCTTATGCTGTTTGGCATGCAAGTAATCTTGTTTGGTAGCTTCACGAGGTTAACACCTCATCTTTAGGTATGCCTGGTGCCGCTCCTGACATGCCCTCCTGCACTCTCCATTGAACCAGAGTTGATCCCCTTGCTTGATTGTAATGTTTGAGTGGGGAATACGCTGGACCATGAGGTTGCAGATTGTGTTGGAGTACAATTCTGCTGCTGTTGATGGCTCACAGTGCCTCATGCATGCCCAGTCTTGAGTTGCTAGACCTATTCAAATGTTGTCCCATTTAGCACAGTGATAGTGCCGCACAACATAATGGAGGGTATTCTCAATGTGAAGTCAAGACTTCATGTCCATAAGGACTGTGCAATGGTCATTCTTACCATTACTGTCATGCACAGATGTATCTGCAGCTGGCAGATTGGTAAGGATGAGGTCAAGCATGTTTTTCCCTCTGGGTGGTTCCCTCACCACCTTCTGCAGACACAGTCTAGCAGATTTGTCCTTTAGGACTTGATCCACACGATTAGTAGTCCTGCTGCTGCTCCATTCTTGGTGCTGGACATTGAAATCCCTCATCCAGGATTAGAATATTAGAATCCAGAACTAAAATAAAATTTTCCAGAAGCCAATATTTTTGTTAATTAATTAAGTCTTTGAAATTTGAAGCACTAATGCAACTGTTTATTCTTATAAAGATTATGGCCAATTCCCAGTAATTTGCATTCTTATTGCCTTTCATGTAATGAGGGACCAGATGTCTGAGCAAGAGGTTTGGGATGAGGGAGTGAGGGACATAAGTATCAACAGCTTTTGAAGATGCTTTAAAATTGGGAGATAGGTTGCAAAGTAAAAGGCATAAGAAGAAAATTAGTGTTGCATTATGGAGATGGAAAGCTCTCCCATGGCTGATGGTTTCATTGAAAGGGATTCATTATAGGCTGCATTCAGAAAAATGGAAAATCCATTTGGCAACAGGGTTGAAGGAACTGGGAGTGGTTTGTAAATGAGGATAATCATTTTAATGTTTCTTTATCATTTCCATTGCGTTTTTCGTACCTTCACATTAGTTCTTCTCACCTGCAGAATGAATTGCTTTCCAGTATTGCTTGTCTATTACACAAAGAACCTCAAGTGATCTCACTCCCATCTCCTGCTTTTTATATTCTTTGCTGTTCATCATTTCTAGAAAAAGAAGGGAAATTTTAAACAAAAGTATTGAAGTGAAATACACAGAAATAAAACAAAAGAAAGTTTGAAATAGTCAGCACATCATGCAACTTTTGGAAAGAACAATACAGCATTTTTTAGGCCAATGACCTTTCATCATTACAGAATGAAGATAGAAATGTAAGAGTTTTTAAGTTTATAAGAGGATAGGAGATCAGAAGTGAAGATCTGCTATATGGTGGAGGGCAGGATAAAATAATAGAATTACAGAATTATTATAGCATAGAAGATGCCATTCAGCTAATATAGCAGCCTCAACTTGATAAACACAACTTCAGTTGTAGTAAAGAGGCTTCTATACTGTACTTCTTACGAATTGTTGAATGCTTGTAAAAAATTATTTATGGGATACGTTGGAATTGAGGTTTTATTTCTGAATTTTTCACTTATTTTATTTTAATTAATTGTACATTCTAATCACTTATAGAAGACATTCAATGTGAAACAAAAAAGTTCAACTAGTAACAAATGGAAAACAATGAGGCCACAGAACCATATAATCATGGAAATTTATAATCCAGAAGCAAGGCATTCAAGCAAATTGTGTCTTGCTGGCTCTATGAATGGGCAATCCAAAACATATTCCAATGCTTTAAATATTCCTCACTGCCTTGTGTTTTTTGGTTGATGTTTCATTATACTGCAGCTGACTGTTTCCATGATCTGGAAGCTGAAGTAGCAACAGTAGACACAAATCATGTCTGGGCCTAAAAATACTGCTGTGCGCACATCCTTTACTTCTACACCCAAAAGGACAGGCTTCAAGTATTTTTCTTATTCTTTCATGGGACGTGACAGCTGTGGTAAGGCCAGCTTTTCTCCCCCAACTCTAACTGCCCTTAAGAAAGTGATGGCGAGTCACATGCTTAATTGTTGCAGTCTATTAGATAGAGATACACAGAATTCTTAGGAAGGGAGCTCCAGGAATTTGACTGGTGGTATATTACAAGTCAGCTTGGTTGAGACTTGGAGAGGGGCTCCTTTGTACTTCCTGTCCCTTTCTGTCCCACTCTGGGTATTATTATCCATATAACTGCCAAATCCTTTTGCTTTGTATGCATAAATTTCTGCTTTCCCAATGCCCCACAAAATTGCTTTAAAGCCTTCTCTACAGCTCTGGTTATTTGATTCGCCAAGATTTAAAGATCTCACTTTAATTTAAAGACCAGAAATAATCACCAATGCTTTTCAGTAATCATCTTCTTTCCTTGCATTCATATCATGCTGTTGCTCATAACTTCACTCAGCTACTGGTCTCACTGCAGGTCAGCCTCTTAATCCACACCTTCCTCTCCCATATAGCTCTTGTTTGGAACATTTATGTCTTGCAGTAATCGTTGTTAAATCACCCCATCACCCTTTGCAGCAAATTCCCACTTGAACCAAATTTCCAATTCACTCATTCAGCCTTTGTCTCACTCAGGTAAAGCCTCCTTCACAATAATCATGTACTTTAGATGAGGTGGGTGAGAGATATTGCAGATGATGCTTGCAATAGGGAGACTAAGAAAAAATTAGTCCCAGTGGGAGGTGTGTGCAATGGCAGACATAGAGTTAATGTGAGTCAGCAGACAGAAGATAATAATACTTAACGTTGTGGAGAGCAGAAGGTCATTGATCTTCTTATAACATTGTTGGGAGTATTTCTTCACTCTCAGCATTGCTTTGACCAGATGGCTATCTCATTCCACGCTGGTAGCACTTAGACTATAAGATCATAAGATGTACGAACAGAATTAGGCCACTCAGCTCTTCGAGTCTGCTCTGCCTTTCACTCATGGGCTGATATGTTTCTCAACCACATTTTCCTGTCTTCTCCCCGTAACCTTTGATTGCCTTACTAATCAAGAAGCTATCTATCTCCATCTTAAATACATTCAATGACTTGGCCTCTGCAGCCTTCTTTGGCAATGAGCTCCACAGATTCACAACCTCTGGCTTAAGAAATTCTCTTTATCTCAGTTCTAAAGGGTCATCTCTTCACTGGGTCCATTTCTGAAGAAAGGTCCCAACCCAAAACATCAACTTTCCCGCTCCTCTGATGCTGCCTGACTTGCTGTGTTCCTCCAGCTCCACACGATGTTGCCTCTGACTCCAGCATCTGCATTTCTTGCTATCTCCTTTGGAAATCTGAAATGGGATCATTATATGAAGTCTTAAAGATTTTGAAACAAACTTTGATTTTTTTTTCAATGCCTCCTTTGGTTTGGTTTATATAGGCGATGCAGTTGAAGTTCTATTGGTGGCTAAGACACCTTCCTCTGATACTGGATAATTTGTGTAGATATCAGCATTACTGGTCCATTGATTTTTATAGCTATATGAATAGTCATTTAGACAACATTACCAGTGATGTCAACGGAGATGTACCCTTACAAGACATTGTCTCCTTTAGGAGACAATCAGGAGATGAAAATGGAGATTAAAAAATATAATCAATAAGCTACACTCATCCTACATTGACAGTATAGAAGCACTATACAAATCAATACTTTCAATGACTTTATGATTCCTTGATAGTGATGTCAAAACAAAGCACCCTTTCCCCATATGAAAAACATCCCAACACTTTCTCAGAATATATCCTTTCAGTGAAAATCAATTACATTATTAAATATAAACCTTATGAGTTGTGAGTTGAAACAGTAAATGCATACCTTTAAGGAGTTCCCAGACAGGTAGCTCTGGAATATTCTGCTCAATGATGTACTTGAGGATATCTGTATGGGAGTAGAGTGCTGCCAAATGAATAATATTGTTTTTTTCACTGTCGAGCTTTGTTAAATTGGCTCCAAGGGATAGTAAATACTGAAGTGCTTCAAATGCACCAGCCATTGCAGCAAGCAATAGTGGAGTAGAGTTGTATCTAAATCAAAAGAAAATCAGAATGCCTTCACAAACTACCAGCAGTAAAATAACAGAACATATCTGCAGGAAATTGTCATTCTCTGAATTAATATTTACATAAATTTCTTAACACCACAGTAATTTTCTACACAAAGGGTGGTGATGAGGATGCAGGTGGGAGGAGATCTTGCAACCCAGCATTTTTGCTTTAAGATAGGCATAATGAAATTTCTTTTAATTTCACAACTGCTATCAGTTTTATTAGCTCCAAAAATAGTTAATTCTCAGAATCCTTGATATCATTCTTGAAGCTAAGATAAACTCCCAAACACACATTCATTTCAGTACATCATCAAAACAGTATTAGCACTGCTTATTGCTTAATATCATTCAGTCTTACAACACTCAGAGGTCTCTATGCTCCTCTAATTCCAGCGTCCTCCAGATCCCAATCTTGAATGCATCATGCTTGGTGGCAGTGCCTTCAGTTGCTTTCATTTGGCCAATATAAAATTTAAAAATTATCCCAAAGTCTCTTGACATCCCTCTATTGCTTTAAGATGTAAAACCTACCTTTTTTTTTAATCTGGGCTAGTATTTCCTCATGTGGCTTGATGTCAAATGTCCTTTTAAAGTCAAAGGTAAAGTGAGGGGGGATGACAGGAAAGTAGAGTTAAAGTCATTATCAGATTAACCATGATTTTACTGAATGAGGCATCAGGCTTGCACAGTCAAAGGGGCCACTGCAACTCTTATTATTGTGCTCTTTGATCACTGCCCTGTGACAACCCGATAATTTTACATGCATTATATAAATGCATTGCAGTTTTGTAAATATAGCTGAAGAGATATTTGTCTGCTTTTCTCTTGTCTGGCAAGAAAATTGTAAAAATTACGTGTCAAAGTTATGCACTGGCTCTGAAACAAAAATTAGATAAATATTTTACATTTATGTCATGGAACACAATATTTGAATGTTATAGAACTTTAACTATTTACAACGTAAATATATAAAAACATATGCAACACAATGCAGGCTGTGAGTTTATTGCTCTTTTTTACTTAACCACATTAGGTAGATTATTGAACACTTACTGAGCTGAAGTCTCCAACTCTAAAAGCCTGTGATCCTTTCTATACAGAGCTCTAATGCAAGAAACATTGTCATAAAATGCAGCAAAATGCATAGCTGTCCAGCCTCGTTTATCAACCTTTGTGAGATCTGCTCGCAGAGCCAGTAGGCATGTTAGTGCACCAAGTGACCCACATTTGGCTGCCATATGCAGAGCAGTTGGACCTACAAGCAAAGGAATTACAATCTAAAGTTAGAAAGAAGGTCTAGCATTAGTTTGATTACAAAAAAAATATAAATTTCCAAATGGTGGTTGATAGATGCCACACAAAAGGTTGTTTCACAAGATTAGAGTCCACAGAACTGGGGTAATGTAATGATCATTAACTGAGGATTGGTTAATGGACAGAAAATAAAGGGTAAGGGTAAAAAAGCAATTTTTTAATTTTAAAGGTTTTTATGTTATTTGATGGGTGTGCTGGGCTTCAAATATGTACAGTCTATTTCAATGACTTAAATGGGGGAATGGAGTTTGCTATGTCTGAGTTTGCTGCTGACACAAAGATAGGTGGGAAACTAAGCAGTGAGGAAAATATAAAGAGGTTACATAGAGATAGACTCATTTTAAAAATGTGAGTAAGAAGGTAGGATTGTGATGGAAATATAATTGATGAGTTTCCTTGGGGATCTTGCCAGGACAACAACTAGCTGCCTTTCCTCCACCTACTAAATGTGAATGTCCACAAATCGGGCTGAGTGTTTGAGCTCCCAGATGGATTTTCCTGTTGCTTGCCCTTTTTATTGCCCTCTACGGGACCACAAAACTAAGATCTTAAAAAATCAGATTTAGTGTTAGTAATAGCCCTTCCTGATTTGTTCAAATTGAAGTGTAGAGCCTGCTGGAAACTTCTCTCCCTCTATTTTAACTCAATGGACTGAGCTGTTAGGATTTAAAGACAGTTTCTTTTTTCTTCATTGTGGCTTTTCTTTCCCCTTCAAGCTTGCAGTACTAATGGATTTTCTACTAACTGGCAGCAGGAGGTTCTCTTGTGAAAAGATCTGAGTCAAAAAATGTTCCGTACGTTCAATTTCCTCAACCTAGGTATGGGTTAGGGATCCTGCAATGTCAGACTTGTTTGAGAAAAACATCATACCTCTGACCACATACACCTTTGAAATTGTAAGAAAGTCATTCTTGTCAATAAAATCTTCCTATAGTGAACCACAGATTATTTCCTAATTATATTTCTGAAATGGAAATTCAAGTTAATAGTCAATGGGAATTACATATAAGATACAAAGAACGTTCCTAACCAGTACTGAAAATGACAGCCAACATAAAACAACAATTGACCAGAACACCTGTTATACAACAAATACCACTTACCTAGCTTATGACACACATAATTAATTAATTAAGAAAATAGAATTAAGAATTAAGAAAGATAGAAAGGTCTTTACTGAATATTACCCTTCTTATTTTGACATCTAATTTCATCTTAAATAACACAGTTGAATACCACAAATACCTATTATATTTTCAGTCATTTCAATGGTCAAGGTTAAAGTGAAGCTATTGAGAAAATTAGAGTTTATTATAAAGACTGCAATGGCAGAGAACTTAGAAATGCACAATATAATTGAGCAGAGTCAATGTAGCTTCAGGAAGGGGCAATCATGACTGACAAATATATTAGAATTCTTTGAGATAGTAAGTACTATAGACAAATGGGAAGGCAAGTGGATGTAATACATTTGGATTTCCAGAGATGTTTGATAAGGTGCCACGCTTTAGGCTTATAATAAGATTTGCCCGAGGTGTTGGAGGTAGTATGTTAGCATGGATAGATGATTGGCTAATAGAAGACAGGAGAATATTTTCGGGATGGCAACCTGAATGTAATGGTGCACCACAGGGATCAGAGCCAGAGCCACAATTATTTACAATATGTATTAATGGCTTGAATGAGGAAAGTGAATGTACAATTGCCAAGTTTGTACATGACACAAAAATAGGTGGGCAGGCAAGTGGTGAGTATGGCAAAAGGAGTTACAGAGGAATATGGGCAGGTTATGCGAATGGGCAAAAAAATAACAGATGGAATACAATGTTGGAAAATATGAGATAATGCACTTTGGCAGGAAGTAAAGAATAGCTGAATATTAATTAAATGGAGAAAGACTGCATAAAGCTGCAGAACAAAATGATTTAGGAGTCCTCGTGAATAAATCATCAAAAGCTAGCCCATGAGTACAGGAGGTTAAAGAAGACGTAAATAGAATGTTGGCTTTTATTTCAAAGGTAATGGCATGTAAAAATAGGGTAGTATTGCTAAAACTATCCAAGATACTATTTAGACTACACCTGGATTACTGTGAACAGTTTTGGTGTCCTTATCTAAGGAAACGCATTGGAGGAGGCAGTGAAAGTCATTAGGTTAATCCTGGATATGAAGGGATTGTCTTAGAGAGTCTAAAATCAGAAGGTATAACCTTAGAATAAGAGGTCGCCCAATTAGAATGGAAATGAAAAGGAATTTCTTCTCACATAGGGTGGTGAATCTGTGGAATTGAGGGCTGTAGAAGCTGGGGCTTTATATTCAAGTCTGAGATGGACAGAATTTTAATCAGTCTGAGAATTAAGGGGGTTAAGGAAAAGGAAGGAGTTGAGGATTATCAAATCAATCATAATCTCATTGAATGGCAGAGCAGACTCAATGGGCTAAATGGCTTACTGCTGCTCATAAGTCTTATGTCTTACTGCAGTCATCTAGAGCCTTGGTGAGATATAGTTTGCAATATTAGATGTGGTTTTGGTCTATTTATCTTAGGATAGATATAATTGCTATAGAAGGAGTAGAATGATCGTACACCAAGTAGGATGGAGAGGTTGTACTAATAGGAAAGATTACATAAACTGAGCCTATTAACCTCTAGAGTTTAGAAGAATGAAAGATGATTTCATTCAAACATACAAGATTCTTACAGAAATTGTCAGGCTAGATGTAGAAAGGATGTTTCTAGACCCTTCTGGACCAAGGGACACAGCATCAGTATAAGGGGAAAGACTTTAGGACTAAGAAGAAGAGGAGTTTCTTCACTCACACCTGGAATCATTCCATGAATCATTTCTGCACCCTCTCAAAACTTTCGTATCCTTCCTAAAGTGTGGTGCAGAAATTGTATGAAATACTCTCGCTGAGGCTGAACAAGTGAGTTATACAAGTTCAGTATAACTTCCATGCTCTTGCATAACCTTACATTAACAAAGCCCAGGAAACTCTATGCTTCATTAACTGCTCTCCCATCCTGCTTGCTGCTTTCAATGCACATTTATATTTAGATCTCTCTGCTCCTGCACCGCTTAAGAAAAATTGAACTGAATTTCAGCATTATAAGTATCTTTTATTCTCATCTGGATTTAATGCTTCTGTGTATTCAGTTTGTGATTTAATTACATTTACTTAGGTAATTAGTAGTAAATACAATAAACTAACGTTTATCTTACTAAAGCCTAAAACTTTGATGCTGCTTGTTTTTAAATTGAATGATTCAATTCAAAAAAGGGATACACCTATGCACACACATTCTTAGTTCACGGACAACTTTGAGCAAATGCCTTTTTATGTGGTTGCAACATTCAAGAACATGTTGCTCACAAACAAACGTGCTGGTTTTTAGAGCTTACCCACATTGAACAAATAGTCAGTACAACGCTGATTAATTTTCAGGTGTACTGCGGTCAGCTGACAGATAATTGATGCATGATTGTGTATTGCAGCATGATGAATAAGTGCATATCCAGATGCATCTACAACTCCAAGCTGAGATATCGGGTTTTGTTGACAGTATGTGTAAAAGACAGCAGCAAGTCCGCTCTTGGTAGCAGATGTTAGACCAACGGCCAAATCCTGGATGAGAAAGAAAGAAACTAGTACTACTGTATGGAATTTACATCATTGTACAACTTCACTAGTAAAATCTTGCTTCAGGGGTATAGGAGCTTGATTAGAAAACACATGGAGTACTGTGGGCAGTTTTGGTTTCCTTATCTGAGGAATGATTTTATTGTCATACAGAAAGTGTAATAAAGGTTCACTAGACTTGTTCCTGGGATTGTGGAGCTGTCCTATGAAGAGAAATTAGGCAAACTGGGCCTGTACTCTGTAGAATTTTGAAAAATATGAGGTGATCTAATTGAATCTTACAAAATACTTAAAGCGGTAGACAGCGTAGATGCAGTCAAGATGTTTCTTGTGTTTGGAGAGCCTAGTTTCAGCAGAACAATTGAAAAATAAGGAGGAAGCTACTTAGGTCTGAGATGAGCAGATTTTTTTTACTCAGTTATGAACCTTTCGGCTGTACTGGCTCCACCTTTGAGGATATTTAAGGTGTAGGTTGATAGATTTCTGAATACCAATGATGTACATGTTTATAGGGATAGGGTGAGTAAAAGGCATTGAAGTGTTTGATCAGCCATGGTTGTATTCAATAGTGAGGCAGGCTCAATGCACTGCATGGCCTAATCCTGTTACAATGTTCTAAAAAATAGGTTAAAATTTCACTTATAACAGATTGGCATCTGCATCTGTATGCCAGATGTAACATGGATCATGCAGAATTGAACAAGACACCAGAAATGACAATGTCACATACAACCTTGCCAAACCTGAACCTACCTAACCAACATCTGGGGCTTGTGACAAGATTGAAAGATCTGTCCCACAGACTAGTTGAGCAACAAATCTAACATAGACATTCTCTTGGAACATCTTACAGAAAATGTTCTAGACATCACTGTCATTACTCCTGGGTATGTCTTTATCCATTGGCTGGATAGACCCATGTGAGGTGATGGCACAGTGGTGTACAATTGGGAGGAGTACAACAAAGGATGCAGAAGGGCATGCCAGGAGCAGCACCAGGCATACATAAAAATGAGATTTCAATGTAGTGAAGCTATACACCGGACTGCTTACGTGCCAAGCAGCATAAACAACATGCAATAAAACAGAGCTAGGCAATTCCACAACTAATGAATACTGTCAAACGTCTGGAAATCTGTCAAATCCAGTTGTGAACTGTGGTCAACAATTAAACAACTCAGTGCAGGAGGAGACTTCACAAATAACTGCGCCCTCAATTGTGGTGGACCTCAGCACATCAGTGCAAAAGAAAAGGCTGTAGTTTTGAAAGCAAATAAATCATATGAATAATTGCTTGAACAAGCATAATTGGACATGGAGTTGCAGATGGTTTGAAGCTGAGGGGCTATACAGAGCTGATGACAAAGAAGTTGATTAGTCTGTGGACTAATGACAGTTATCGGTGACAGAGACCTTTTTGCCTTCCTACAACTGTATTGGCTTTCAGGCAACTGAACAGCTTGGAGCTGGCAACAAGTTACGGAGTGAGAGTAATGTTCAGTTCTTCCCCAGCTCCGGAGAAATCTCTGTCTTCTGTGGTCAAAACTCACAGTAAATCTGAAGAAAACCAATTTATCTTGCCTTCAACGGTTGCTGTAAGTTGTGGCTTTTAACTGATAATTCAGAGACTCTATAAAGGAACCTGCTACCTTACCGACCAGTGGAAAAATCTGGAGAAAGACAATTGAAGCAACGCATTGGCCAACAGAAAAGTCATAAGTATTACCAGGTACTAACAACAGTACCAGCAAGCAAAGACTACTGAAGTGTCTTTTCAGTTTTTCCCCTCAGTCTATTACCTATTTTACCTGTCCATTTGTGTGTGTGTGTGTGTGTAAGGAGGAGTTTATAAGGGGATTAGAGTTTTAATTAGCAGTATTATTTGCCAACGGTTCATAACTGTTTACCGATAACGAGAGTCTAATGACATCTAATAAATAGTAAATTTTGTTCAGTTGAGAATTCTCATTTGCGCTTTTGATCAACTTGGGTCTGAAAGTCAGGTAAATTGGGGAACTTAGTGTATTTTCAAAATTTTTAACTCATATGATGACTCTGGGAATAGCAGGCTTGATTTCCAGCTTGCTGCCCCACTGAGTTGTAACATTTGGACAGTGGTAGCCATTACATCCAACAGGAATGATCCATTACTTTTTAATGTTTCTATTAAAATGCTCGAGAAGTCTGATTGCATTTTAACATTCTGAGGAAGGATCACTCGACCTGAAAAATAAACTCTGATTTCTCTCCACAGATGCCAGACCTGCTGGGCTTTTCCAGCAATTTCTATTTTTGTTTCCGATTTACAGCATCCATAGTTCTTTCAGTTTTTATTTTGCACTTTAATGTCAGTCCAGAACAAGAGTGAACATCCAGTCTTGTGTAGTTCTAAATGTATTGGCAGACAAGAAGACAGGTCACCTGAGCTCTCAAAGTCACTTATTTCAAAGCAGTTTGTCCATTCTCCATTTTGTTTTAAAAAGAAGTGTCCATTCTATAAGTCCATGAACATAACAGAGCAGGCATGATGCTGCAAACAAATGTCACAAAAACACTTCCTTTAAATTCTTCAATATTACAATGAATTAGCAGTCTTTTTGGGGTTACAATAAGCTCCTTATGACCTCTTTGGGCAGTTGCTTCATTGTTCTGAAATACAGTTTTCTGTAATCTCCAATGATTTGGGGTTATAGTGCTACTCAACTTAATAAAAAAAATCCTCCATCAGCATGTCCTTTGGTTTTGGTGAAATGAGCAAATTTCTGATTGAATGTGACAGTAATAAATCAAATCAAAACCTGTGTACTAAATGGTCGTGAATTAAAAGAGGCTGGTTAAATCTGCTTTTCTTTACATGCATTAACATGCACAAATGGTCACATGATGATGCTCTGACTCCCTTGCTGGTAAACGTAGACTTTTGGAAAGACATGTAATGTCACCATCTTCTGAAGTTAGTATGTACAGACAATAAATTCTGGCTTTTCTAGAAACACTTATATCCCAAAATAAAATAAGAATGGAAAATGTTGTACATTGAACGACTGAGAACTCACTGGACATATTTCTAATCTAAAACAAAGCCTTACGTTGTATCACTGAAATATTTTTGGAAATAGATGGGAATTATAAACTGTGCCATTTGATAAGTATCGTTTGATCGTAAGGTGACACTTTACATTTGAACTTCTTTGTAACAGCTCAAAGTCCTTTCATCACTAGTCACATGCATGCAAAATGCCAATATAGCTTATTTATCACAATTATCATGAGGTATAATGTAAAGAAATGAACCTTAATTACATTTGTATTTCTGTGCAGCAAAACACCAACATTCTTAGTACCTTGCATTTTAAGGTGTTTTTATGACCAAATTTTTTCCTTAATTGTTCATTCAACTGCGTTCCATTTAACGGTAGTTTATCAGATTTGAGCAGAGGGATTACATCATGGACTACTTTCCACCATTTAAACTTCTGCAATGTGTGAAAGATGGTTTCGAGCTCAATAGCAATTGCATAATAACTGTAAAAATAACATTAGAACAAGTCAGAGATAGTAGGAACTGCAGATGCTGGAGAATCCGAGACAACAAGGTGCAGGGCTGGATGAACACAGCAGGCCAAGCAGCATCATAGGAGCAGATGCTGCTTGGCCTGTTGTGTTCATCCAGCCCTGTACCTTGTTGTCATTAGAACAAGTCATTTTTGAACTTAGATTGATATACAATGCTCTACAAATTGTCAAATATTCTATGAATCAAAGGAAGAAAAAGGTGATTTCTGATGGTCCATCGGTGAAAAATACTGCCCAGAATGGTACTAAATGACTTAGATCAGGAAATTGCATGTCAGTCTTTAGTTTATGCTGAGTTACCTGGTCTGAGATTTTACCAGCCCTCTGGAGAATGTTTGGGAGGTGGGAAGTTTGGTGAAAAGGAGTTGGAATGCATAAGGAAGAAAGACTGACTAGGGCATTGTGCATGATAATTCAGAATAACAATGGCTTCCTATTGCCTGGAAGTGGGCAGACAATTACTAATTAATTGGCCTATTAAGGCCAGTTAACAACCTTACTGGATTTGGCTGGCATTGGAATGGACCCCTGCTGCCTGGGGAAATCACAAGGCACAATTAATGGTTCCCTGGTGACATGGAATCTTCCTTCTTGGAAGCTCCATATCCCGCATAGGGGACCTGGATAGCAACAATGACCACACTCAAGGGTCTGCACCACTGCTAGACAGTGCACCATTTCGACTGCAGAGGCCTTGCCTGCTTGACCATGGTATTCAAAATGTTTATTGGCCCTTTAATGATGCTTCAACATGGAGGTGCTTTCTCCTTCTTGTTGTGGCCTCTACCACAAACACTTCATTCAGAGAGACTACTGAGGCCACAGTGCTAACTGTCCTCTGATTCGGTCAGCAGCTCAGGGAGATGAGCAACCACCATTAAAATTGCTACACCAGTAGACACCATCATAAAACTCCTCTTTGCTCAGTCCTGCTGCTTGATCTTCTGACAGACATTGGTAAAATTTTGACTCTAATGGCAGCATGAGCAGAAATTACTTTGGTAATCTAGGCTTTAGTGAGGTCCCATTTACTGCTGAGAAATACCTGTGGTAGCATAATCCACACTCCCTCTATCACCCCATTCTCTCACCCTCATTGCTGTTTAACCACATCACACACTGCCTGTCTCTACCTACATCCCATCTGAACATCATTTAAGTCAGCTCCACTACAACCCCAGTGCCCGCTGTAGATCTGTAACTTGTCCTTGTCCAGTAGGGGAACATCAATACAGACAAACATTTGGTCAAACAATCATAGAATCATAGAATCCTTACGGTGTGGAAACAGGCCCTTCGGCCCAACGAGTCCACACCAACCCTTAGAGCATCCCACCCAGATGCATTCTGCTACAACCCACTTAATCTACATATCCCTGAACACTATGGGCAATTTAGCATGGCACATCTTTGGACTGTGGGAGGAAACTGGAGCACTCAGAGTAAACCCATGCAGACACGGGGAGAACGTGCAAATTCCACACAGACAGTCGCCCAAGGGTGGAATCGAACTTAGGTCCCGGGTGCTGTGAGGCAGCAGTGCTAACCACTGAGCCACCATGCTGCCGGACACTGAGCCACCATGCCACCCATGCCAAAAACATGAAATTTTATTTCCAAAAAGAAAAAGCAAATGCAAACAAAACCAATCAGGGTTGAAGTTCACCTCAACAATACAAACTAGATTTTGGCATCATGACCAATAAATGTCATGGACAGCAACAGCTTCTTCCTTTCCAACGGCCTTGTCCTCCTCCTTCTCCTTCTCCTCCTCAGATGACAGCTCTGATTGCCCCAGTTCCTAAGCATCCTTCACATCGTCTCATTGTCTGCTTCAATTCTGCAGAGCACAACATGCCAGGATGATGTGGCACACCATGTGTGGATTATACAAGAGGTCCCCCAACAGACTGATCCAAGCAACAGAACCACATCTTCAGCAGCTCTATTGTCCTATTGCCCTATGCTCCACAGTGACCCTGGTTGAAGCATGGGTGGCATCACACAAGTCAGGGCACTGCAAAATTGTGTCATGAGCTGTGGTCACTGTGGGCACCCCTTGTTCCCCAGTAATCAGCTTTGTAAAGCACCTTGACCTTTAAACACATCAGGTACACAACACTTTAAAACAGAGATAGTAGGAACTGTAGATGCTGGAGAATCTGAGATAACAAGGTGTAGAGCTGGATGAACACAGCAGGCCAAGCAGCATCAGAGGACCAGGAAGGCTGACGTTTCGGGCCTAGACCCTTCTTCAGTTTTCTTC